TTTCTAGTTACAAAGAATATCATTCAGATAGTGTTAAGTAATTTTTTGAAAATCAAGACAAACTGTTTGTATTCAGGATCATGTTCTATTTTGTTGAGCAAACGCTCTGCTTCCTATTCGCTTTGGTTACATCGAAAATCAACAGTGTAGTTTAATTTAACTTAATTTTTCCAGTGGCCTGATATAAGGTTTTTTTTTCACTAATTCATAACCGCGTTTACAATATAAGTTCTAGACTAATCTAATATGAACATACCTATTTCGGTACTAGGCAAGGGTCCTGTTCAATTTTCTTTGGGGTGGGGGGTGGGGAGGTGACAAGTACGATGAGTTCATCCACCGCTATAGCAGCGGTTCTAAGGTAAAAATGTGCTACTGAATGTCTATAATTTCCTTTTAAAAAGGTATATATATATGGCGAATTGTTTGTCGTAATAGCCATGTGTTCATCATATACCTTCGGTATTAACCGAAGGTGAATTGTTTTTTCTGATAAATAAAATAAAAAGCCGGTCAAAATGCGTTATTTTCGAAATTTGAACAAAAATCAGATTTTGTCCAATTTTTACGCGCTATACAGTTTTTCATCGGGATTATTAAGTTTTTTCGTTATTTCAAATCAATAGCGTGTTACCTCGCTGATGAATATGTGCCTGCAGAAATAGTAGAAATAGGTTTCAGCACAGAACGACAGACAATTCAACAGAGAGAGAAAGCGACGCGGATATTGGGTCTGATCGGTGGCGTCTAAAAGTGCATTTTGAAAGTCGTTCCGTCTCGAATGGGTCGTTAGCAAAGACTTCGATGTGCAGATAGGTATACCATGTCACAGGTTGTTTACGGTAAGCTCAGATACATACCTTATGTGTAAAAGTCATATAGATGCCTTCCGAAACCGAGAAATTTGACTGATTTCATTTACTTCTCAATTCTTCCAGGAACGAAGAAAGCAGGCCATAGATTCTCTACTGAAAAGAGCATTTAGTATCAATTATTTCAATCAATCTAAAGCAATCAAAGGTTAATCTGAAAATTGTTCACTTGTATACAATTGAAATGGGAGCAAAAGCAAAATTTTGGACAGATCTTCACGTACTCGGTGATGAGATGTCGTGCCATTATATACGCTTTCAAAAAGACCAAAGAATCATTTTAGAAGTTTACCGGCATGTTCCCTCTATAAACTGTTGTGTGCTTATGGCTAGCTGAAGTGTCTTTTAGCAAAATACTGTACTAAGCTACACTAGCGGATCAGTGCAGGCTTGCTTGAGAATATGGGAATTGCACGAAAAGAGTGTATCTGGTAGCCAAACATTTATATTCATCCCGTTATTATCGATCCTTGAACAAATGATAACTTTTGGCGTGTCCTTTTACAGCCAAGCGAATCACTAGGGTAAATGACCAACGTAAACATCGCTACTCCCTTCCTACTAAGCTTAAACTTTAACTGGTTGATCTACATGAGAGTTTTCAAAAAACTTAACTGGACAAGTTTCCGTTAAAATACTGCCAGATGCTGTTCAATGAATATGTAATAATACTTGCACGTTGTTGCAGTAATAGTACATGTATGTTTATTATTTTTTCAATTTATAGTCGTATCTCAGCCGAAAAATGGCGTTCGAACTTCCCCGTTCAAATCAGCTTTTTCTATCATATGACACATACAGAACCTCTTGCTGAGCTATAGCTTGTTAGACTACTGAATGTACATTTTTTGGTAACACGTTCCCATTAGAGTACATATCAAAATCGGAAGACAAACATTATATTTATCGACAGCAAGCCCTTAATTTCATAGAGAGATACTGCTATAAATTATCCGCACATGCTCGGTATCGTTGTCTCGATAGAACTCAACTCTTTCTTTGCGGCCCGACTTTGAGAAATACCTTTGGGGAATAGCATAGTTGTGTTTTATTTTTTGAGAACTCCCAAATATTTTTTTGAAAATGATGGAAAATATAATTAATAATAATGTTATTATAAGACTATATCGTTGCACATATATTTAGTAGACAAATGCGCTCAACAGTGTTGTTGCTTTTAAATCAGTTATCACAATTCTTAGGTTGTTTACTAACCGACATGAAACTGTTTGACGTTCGAATAGAAACTGCTTTCTTGTATTGATAATAACATGTAGAAATACAGATCGGGCACTAACAAAGAACGTTTTAGGAGCACAAGTGTTTTTAGATTGTAGTGATTTAGATGAAAAAATATAGTGACAAATATGTGGGCGCAAGTGGGCTTTGACTCACAACAAATGTAGTCGAAGTTACAATTTGTCTCGCTTTCCCCTAAGTCCATATTGGTACATTTCATGAATCTTGTGAGACAAAAATTCACATAATAATGATTTAATAATTTGCCTAGAAATAAGCTTTTAGGCCAAATTCAAACCCAATTCAAGTACGAAAATGCGCCAGGCAGTCGTCACACCTATTTACCGCATAATAGCATTATTGATCACTTTGTGCTCTCCTTATAAAAACTTATATTCATAAATAAGTGAGTAGAGCTTACGGTAAAAATTAGTATTATAGGTGTGTTTCTTGCGTCCTGTAGCATTTTATAGGAGCTTCAGTGGTACATTACACAGTACACTGTGTCATAATTTATATTATTAGAGTTGTTAGCAAAAATTTGCTTAAAAAATAGAAATGCTTGGAGAAAAGTCTTTTGCAGTAAGGTAAAAATATACCGGCAGCAGACTGCTTGTCTACACTGCGCTGTCTCTGGTTCTAGTTTCTTTAAGGATGAACTATTTTTTTATTATCTAACAATGAGCTTTGTACTGCCCGTCGGTGCGGGCACCATAACTCTAAAGTAGACCCCGCCTAAGTTACTTTTTGCCCTTACCGTTGGATATCGTCTTGAACGAACGACTATTCTTCAAGCTTGATTTATGAGGAGCCATTTGCCGACTGAAGTGAATATACTCTCTGATATTAAGAGACTCTATCCTAGGCTTTTTTCACTCGCATAGATCATCGCTTGCATGTCGCGATCTTCTGCTTATGTCTAATACAATTTTTATTATGGCCATGTAATGGCTATGTAAATCATGTGCGTTAGACGGCGCACCAACGGAGCGGCCAGCAACGGATAGTGATCCATTAGCGCATCCTTTGAAGCATTCTTTGTGCATTGGAGTATTTCGTTCAATGGTTCATAACAGTGATGCTTATTACGGTTAGGCACGGCACGATAGAGGTCTCTCTAGCTGACATAAAATAGGAACATTGATGAAGCAATTAAAAACATAGTAGCTGTTTAATCCTTACTACGAACATCACCTACAGGGTTAAGTGAGCATCTTGGACGGAAGGACTGAATAGATACTAAACATGATCCCACGTATTTGGAACCCAACAAACCTGTTTAGCCTGTTTTCTCTATTTCTGATATTGCACGCATAAACATAAAAGTAAAGCTTTTAGGTTGGTAACTAACGCGACAACCGCGACAAAATTGATCTGGAAGTCTTCTATTAACAGGTCGTTTTATGCCCTCATCGTAACTGCTTACAATTTCCTTACTCAAATATTGCGAATATCTACTACAATATCAGCCATTACCAGCAGTCAAACTTACCGGAAACGGGAGTAGTGAACTGCGTATAAGCCTGCGTACACATGCAGCTCCCTACAGTACGTTTTCCACTCCGTACCATTTAGCCTTGCTGTATTAATTAATTGACTGTGCCCTAGTGGTAGAGTGCCGGGCAAGGTAGAGTTAGGCTTGACATCTATAGTGGTGACAATGCCAACAAGCAGCTGAATCGTCTCTGCAAGCGGTAGAGAATGCAGTCACACATTCATCCTGGCATGTCCTAGACATCTTCTTGGCACGGGTGAACGGTAACGGTAACGGCAGCGAGAGCCGAACTGGTACTGAAACACCGAGTCTAACCGACAGCCATGCTAAAAAGGGACCAAGTGCCACGAGGTTTGAGATCGGTACCACAGCAACCACAACTCATAGGTTTCCAGGCTCTCGTTCATTCTGTGAGCTAGCGACTGCCTAGCCTTCTGCCATCCCACAAGTGCCGTAGCAGCACGCTGAAGTCGAAACGCATAACGATTTCCGCTATCGCACGAATGTTCAAGCCGATGGGGTGCCGATTCGAATAAGTCGTAACTGACCTCGTTTGCAAACCGGCAGGTTTCAATAGCTAAACAAGCTTATAGAGGCTGTTAGACAGGGAGAAGTGGACGGACCCTCCTACCCCGTTTATTCACCGGGTGCTGGCTGAGGTGCGAGCACCCACGGACGCAAACTTGTAACAAGTGGCGTACAAATAAAGGCAGCATATGTTTGAAATGTCGTTCTTTTAGTTCAACGAAGTATTCTTAGTGATACGTCTTTATTACACTCCATTAGATTACTTTGTTTCTATTGGAAAAACGTCTACATTTTGCGCCCATAAAACAGACTTATCCAGTCTACTACTTAGGCAGCCTGAGGAGTTTTACACTTTTAACAAGTTTGTTCAAACAAAGTTCACCTCAGATTTCCTGTTGTGTCCACATACAGGTTTGTAGGTAGAAGAAACAAGCAAGTCTGAAAACCTGTCCTTTACATTAGGTTGCATTATGTCGCACTGTTCTGAGTACTACACATTCTGAGGTACACACAACGTATTAACATTCGAGTTGATCCCTTCTCGACAGATGAAAGAAATGAATACAGATGAAAATGACGTTTGCTTGCTATTGAAATACTGCCATGTGAAAGTTAAGTCAACTACCGACAACAGAACGATTGAGGTTTCAAACTTTTTACCTAGTTACATCACAATGATTACCGCATTATTATCGCGAATAAACTTTGCGCTTGGTTGTCGTATGCATTACCATTCCAGTTTAACAAAAAATCTAAACAATGATGCGGCCTTATGAAGCTACGCCAGAGTAGTAAATTTACTTCTACAATAAATCAAGCGTCTGTCAATGATTGACTTTATCATCTCTTTTGGCCTGTTTCAGGAGTTTATTCGAGGCACTTCGATAGAAAAATATGTGTACTTGAACAATTTTCGAGACGTGACTTGACAGTGTAATTCTTTGAGATTGAAAAAGCACATTAGGAATTGCACCGAAATTTAAAACCATCCTCCTATATGGAGACGCTATGCTAAATTACTCGAGAGCTTTTGCTTTAAGCTCGAGTGTCTGCTGCCCTCGGGCATCCACTTGCAAAACACAAACAGTTTTAAGACCCGTATGTCCATTAAGGGATTTGAAAGTGTAGCCGATTCGAAGTTCCTAATCGGATCGGATTCTGTGTTTATTCGTCTAAAAGTGCTCCTGTCACATAGGTACTCCTAGCCCTGTGGCCTTTATCAACCACCAATGCCTGGAAACTGAAAGAATTGCTCATATTCGTTAAAGTGTATCCGGTTATTTTCTAAGGCTACCGGACACAGCTGCAAAAACGGCTAAATTTTCGATAAATATCAGCGACATAATGCGTAAAGTTAGTTTGTTTACTTCTATGAATAATGTTTTTTCGTCGTTGTGAGATGTGCATTCAAATTGTAGAGTATTCTATTGATGGCAAAGCAAATACGTTTTGGGGACCAATGTATATAGATACATACATGAGTAAACAAGTAAAATAAATAATATATGTTTGAATGAAGTTATAGCTAGCTATCATGTCGAACTCATATATTCAGCCCCCGTTCAGTCTAATAGGAAAATATAGTTTGGCTGCAACCAGGTTCATAACCATGAAGAGCAAATTCAACCATTAACTACTAGTCAGACTCTTGTTTCTCATTGTTATATATATATATATATATATATATTGAAAAACTGACAGCCTGTGCGAAATGGGTAACTGATACATTTTCTGGCTCATTTGTAGCTACTATTTTAAAACATAGTTACTTAACTGAACAAGCAGTTTTAACGCATTGATAGTTTATTTGTTCCTTTGAATGATTCTCTTTTTATAAAAAGAAAAACCATAAGAAGTTCAACCAAACTCAGCTTAAACTGTTGTATGTATGGCGCCGTTAGAATTGTGTTTTGCGGTAAAAAAAATTGGTCTAGTTCCAACAAAAAAGCCAACCAGCAATTTACTTACCGCCACGGAAGCTGCTAATGCAGAAAAACGATGAGATCATTCCAATATTGTTGCGAGTGTTGCAATATGACTTCAGGATGACTCAGTGTCTCACTTGAACATACATCTCTTAGGGTTTTTTGTCCTGTTATATATTGCCACTAGGAAACTTGTGCTGCAACGTTATACGATAACAATTGTAGTTTACCTGATATTGTGCTAGTAAATCAAGTTTCGTGTATTGAATGACAAACTACATTCAAAAAATAGAATAAGAACGAGATATTTCACTAAACCGCGTCAATGCGATTGGCATGACCAATGTCTGAAACTCACAAAGTTGAAATGATGTACCAAGCGTTCCTTCAGAGACCACCAGGGGTTCACAACCCCCTCCCCCCCCCCAAAGGAAACCGGAGCTTCCCCGATTCAAACAGGGAGCCTAAACTTAGCAGTGCCGCATAAGTTTTGGAGAAGACTCAGAACTTCTAAAATGCTTCTGTGTTATTTTTATCTCTTGCTTGAGCGTTGTCTAGGACTTCTGTGCAACGGTCGCCACACCCCGTCATTTGATCTACACCTCTAGAGTTTGTAGGAATCGAATTTGCTATACCCTAATGTGAAAATGATGTCCGATTACAATTAAAATAAACTGTAGTAAATTTATACATCTTTGTATTCTGAAGCCTTCACAGACACACGTTCACTTATTGGTCATGCGCTCGGCCCTGCAAAAAAATAGAATTTGCGATGAAATTCAGATACTGATCTATTATTACAACCTTCACAGGAATTATCAAAGCTGTGCAAATATGCAAATCGATCAAAATACAAATTCTCGGCAGTAACTCACTCGTCTTCTAATTGATTTGGGCAGTTCAGAAGAACAGAAGAAGGAACAATTCTGAGCAACTTCTACGTATGAGTTACCGTCACTGCTACTACGATCGAGTCTTATTAACGAAAGTGATCGTACGTTTGAGGTGACCTGAGACCGCAAGAGATTAAGAAAAAAAAACCCGGGTATTAATTTACCAAACGTGGTACCAAATTTCATCTTGCCAACTGAATTGGCATAAGCCGTTTAAATTACTGCGTTATTGGATGACCATTTGTGATATGCGTTTGTCTTCGATAAAAAAAAGGTAGCACATACAGGTGAAATCTCATAACAGCCCGATGTAATCCCAAGTTTGCCGGTGAGATTGGGTGAGTCGATGTCATAAGTGATCTGCAATCTTTTCGATAAAACGCGACAGGCATTAGGTTCTTTATTTTTTAGGTTTAATTATTTCGTTAGGTTCTCTATGTGAAATATTGTATCAACCGCATAGGTACTGATGATGTTTCAAAATGTCTGCGAAAACTAGGTATTTTGTAAAGCTCAAGTTAACAGGTGATTTAGGCGTTTCGAAGACGCACACAAGCCACAATACGATACTCCTCCTGGAAGGTCTGTGACAGCAACACGGACGAGAGCATGACACTTGTGACGGTTTCCTTCGACCGTCAGGAAATGCTCACCGTGAGTTTATGCCGTCCGACTCTACGGTCACCAGGGAGTGGTCTCAAGCAGTTTCAAGAAGATTGCGCAAGCCTGTTTGATACTAGAAACTAGAAGTCTGGCACAACTAGTCCTGAGTCCTCCATCATGGCAATGCATCTGCTTCACTACTTGTGCAGCAGTTTTCTAAAAAAACAAAAAAAAAACAGTATATGCGTTACTCCAACCACCATACTCGTTGAACTTAGACCCATATACTTTTCCCTGTTCCCAGATTTAAAGAAAAATCTGAAAAAAAGCATCTCGACATGATAGAAGATTCGAAAAAAAATCGGCTGCCAAGCTGAGAGCTATTCCAATGATTGAATTTATAAACTGGTTTGGAAACTAGAAAAAGCGTGGCTTAAATATATTGTGTCTGGCGGAAACCACTTTGGAGACCACAATTTGAATTGGGACAATTTAATTAATACTTATCAAAACATCTGAAACATCCATGTTTTGTTCAATGTTATATTAACCAATTCCTACTTGTAATAAAGGGAATAAAATATTGTAGGTGGTTTTTTAGGTAAAATTTAAAAGAGCCGCTTTGAAAGATTTGGTTCAAGAGGCACTGAACTTTCTGAATTTTTTCTCCGGTCATGTTCTGGGGCTCTCAGTTTTTTTCTGGAATAAATACCCTTTCTTATATATGTGCATCACTAATCTAACCTCAAATATTAAGAACGAGTTATCGAGTGTAGATTCTGCATGATATCGATCCGTAATTGCGTTAAACCGTTTTCTAAGGACAGTTTGTATCGCTTTTCAGATAACTGAAGGCAGAATCCAAACTTTTCAGAGTCAACATTAACGAAATCCTAACATTTGTGCACAATCGTTCATGGGATGAAATCCCTCAGTCCTAGTAGCCCCGCAATAAACAACGGCGCTTGTAGCACCCAGTCCCTATATATTACGAAGAACTAAGTTATTAAATGTTACGAACAAATACTGTAATACTAAAAATAAAGCTAAAAACTTAACTCATCGGAAAAATCTTAGTATGCTTGGTGGGCGAATTTGGAACCTCGTGTCTTTGACGGCCGTATAAATTTTCTAGTTCGTTCGTACAGTCAGTAATTTCTGCAGATTTTTCAAGTTTGCAATGCTTCATGGAATCCATCCCTGTATGTTTCGAAGTATAAAACGTGACAAAAAAATCACGTACAAAATATGCACAACAGACGTATTCACACAACGAAAAAAACACATGGATATAATAAAAAACTACCGCGGCTGTAGCAAAAGCGTGAGGCTCTCAAAGAGGTGAAAATATATCATTTCAGTTGCATAAATTATATTAAAAAATATGTTTTTCTTAATGACTGTGCGAATACGGCCCATTGGTTACAATTAGACAAGACAAACAGCTCCGAAGTCGTATTTCTTATGTGTTTCTAGAAGCAATGTGCATACATAGAAGCAGTGATAAAGGAAAAGCATTAAACAGAAATAAAAGAAGAAGCGTTTTCTGGGACGACGGGCAATCCGCCATCTGTTTTACCTGTTTTTTTAAAGGTACGATTTAAATCTTGAAGCTGAGTCTATACTAATAATTCTTCGATGGTGACGTTTAAACTTATGACTCAAACTAAATTTATTAAATGCGGGCGCTTAAATTTTGTTCTTTGAAAGAAAATGAATAACCGATTTTTTGCTAATTTTTCTTCAGTATCTTTTTATCAAAACTTACGATGATAATGTAAGTCATCAACTATATTTTAATAAATATTTGAGCTATATCGCATGTTTTTTATTTAATTTATATGTTTTTTTTATATTTAATTTAAATATGTCTCAACCACAAGCGTTTCGCTCTGAGATCGTCCAATACGCCCGTTTTGCCAGAAGTGAGGCTAAAAAACTTCGGAAGAACTTCCGTTCGCGCTGGACACTGAGCGACTTACGACTGATATTTTTTCCTATGCGTTTTTCGTATGTTTCTTTTAAACGAGCATTTGTGAAAATTGGAACTGTGACAAGATAAAATGTCGCATCCAACCTCGGCTGGTAAGCAATCTGTCCGAACACGATACGACCAGCATTCAGTAATCAGATTTGGTAGGCTATAAATGTAATCTTAAATATATACTTATAATTCCATATGGAAATTTAGCATTTGTTGGTACCGTTACCCCCGAGCTTTCACTGCTTGATGCGTTCATCAAGCCCAAAAAAAAGCGTTCTATTTTACATGTATGTAGCCTGAGGCTTAGGCTGCAACTGTTTCATAGGTAAAGCTATTAGTAACAGTCGAGTGTCTGAGTTACTGCTATGGACACGTGCATCGCTGCACGTTTATTCGTGGGATGAAAGCTATTTTCTGTGCGCTAGTTGACTTCAGTGCGTGAACTGTTGGGAAAGCTACAAAGCACTTGAGCCCGCGTGTATTACCACGATAACAGCGCCATTTCCTGTTGCTTGCATAAACGAGTCGGGTGTCCTTAAAAAACAGCACCGGCAAACAATCTCCGAAACCATATGAGTCGTATTTTCAAGATCTTTTAGATCTAGAGAATAGCAGGCAGCAGCAATGTATCGACCTCACGGATAGCCATTTGCCAACCCTGACGCGTGAGCCGAGTCAAATTAACCCGCTGAATTGAACGAAACATGAAGGCCTGCTGTGGGGCATTTTGACCGAAGGCAGTCAACAACGAGATACGACATACTTTTGCGTTTCAGCCTGTGTCACCGAAACGATAATTTTTCCACGCAATTACACGTGACGAGACAACGTAGCTTAGAATAACCTGTACCACATGAATTCGTATCAGCGATACGGAGGAGTCTGTAGTCAAATGGGTGATGGATGTGCGAACGAGCGCAGCTAGTATGAAAGACATCCCCTTATATAAAGGTTACAAGTTGCATTACCAGGTTACATCAGGCCACTATATGTAAGTCAATAAGTATATACGAAATACTATGGTAGTCTATAGCGTTTCAACAGTCCTTCAAAAATAGAAGTCGCAAGCTTTCTGGCGGCTGCAACATTCTCCGCTAACAAATACTAAATGTAGTAAGCAACGCCATCTTGGCTGTTATCGTCACGTTAATAATCCAGTACCACAGTAACTACAGGAATACCTTTTCAATTGCCCTAGTATACCCATTTTGATAGCCTGTCATAATACTACGACATCAAACATCTACGTTCCTGTAACGGCTTTGAATACATCAGAAGGTTTACCAAATGGGCTAACCATGAGACGGTTTATCTACTATATAATGAATTCGTATAAAATTATTATGTAGCAATTCGACTCGTTTATAACGTAAAATATATTGTAGCGGTTTAGGTGTAGCAATAAACATTTTAACAAACCAAATTTACAAAACAAAAATTACAAAAAGTATAACGTGTGTGCTTTCGCTCTCCACCCTCGCTCCCCGGCCGCGTTGAAAACTTCTCTATGCGCTGTATCCTGCAACATCAACGAATACATGTTGTGTCTAGATCCCTTCAGCCAACGTAATAAGGATATACCGACAACGAAAGGGCTCAAAAATAGGATTATTCATTGCTTTGAACAAGTGGGAACGACCTAACCTAAGGACCTTACATTCAGACGATGAAAAGGCCGAATGGATTACGCTGAAGACAGCTGCTCTGCATAAAGAGTAAAATTGATCGCTTGTGTTTTAACCGATCAAGGAGACTCGTAGTGAGCAGAAACGTAGAGACTATATAGTCTATACGGCAATACAAATCCCGGTAAGCAAAATATTTTCTAACCGAACTTCGACAATGGTTTTCAAGTTTCCTTTTCAGGGTACATATGAAACAATTTTTATTGTACACACTGAGCGGAAAATCGATAACCTGGCCGACTGAACTGAGGAGTTATTGGTGATAGATATTGAATCACATGTTACGCAAGACTAATAACCACCGTGTGACCCTTTCTTTCACGAACTTGGCTGATAGTAGACACTGCCACCACTGCAAAAAATTATTCACTAATGTCACAGACTTCCATATTATAGTACAAACGTCAATAGTGTGCACAGCGCTGACCCTTCCAGGTGTACTATGGACGGATTATCGGATCCTCACGCTCAAGTTCCAATCACAAGTTATTTATCCTCAGATAAGATAAAAATATACATGCTTCTTTATACGATTGAAATTATTGTAAAAACGTATAATAGTAGTCGACATCATCGTGGTTAACGTCAATCTCGCGCTTCCCTTGTACTTTTTTAAATATGAGACATGTTACTTGCACATAACCGTTTAAGCTATCATCGGACGAATTCTAATTTGCGAATCACTAGCATCCGAAAATGATGATGGTGATTTGAAAATACCGAGTTGTGTCTTAGAGCTCAATGGCACAGATAGTTCGCCGTATTAACCTTGTATCCGGCGAAGGACATGTTATCAGAAACACAGTGAACCGCTCGAAAATTCATCTCATGCAAGACCCCACGCGAAGATTATATGCATGAATAACGTGGCCTAATGCCTGAATAGCGACGTGTTTAAAGTTGTGGTTGAAGCCTGCCGATTTTAAAGTTTACGACTATTAGGACTTTGATGTAAATTTCAACACCACGCCTGTTCACCTCAGTCAAATGATAGGGTAAAAAGTGGACGATAGGCGCCGCATGAAACGTAAATAGAAAACAACGAAGTTGTTATTCGAATGAAGTACTTCTATCGAAAATGAACGAGTTATGCTTGTGAATAGGTTACCTCGCATTCGATATTCAACTACCTAATGGTAATGTATAATTGTGTGAACACAGGGCAAGGCAATAACCGATTTCTGTAATACTCATTACGAGTCTAGAAAATTGCTACTACAGATTCTTCGTTTTATCAACGGGAACCTCCAGATCTGTGAAACGCTCAGTTATTCAAACGGTCAGCTAAATCCAGAAAGCATAAGGAAAAAAATTCGATAAACCATGTAGTGTTTTTAAATTGTGTTTGCTGTCATACATCGAACCCTGGCAATTGCGGCCCACGCACCTAGTTAGATTTTTCCTACTACGAGCACTCAAGATACGAATTTTGTCGAGGTTGATACCTCAGGCAAAGTTGTTCGAGGCTCACATATATGCGAATAGGTAAGAGCATGCGTGGAAAAAAGTTTTTCCAACTCGTCGAAAACGTTATTTTGGTGTAAAGC